CCGGTTCTCATGATGTGCTCTGCCTGTTCGGCTGTCCTTGCGGCTGCACGGTTCCTTTTCAGCTCTGCGGCAGCACGCTTCTCATCTGCATTGTGCCTTGCCGAAGCGAGCTGGGTCATCAACTTGTCTTGCGCACAGGCACGCATCCGCTCCACCTCAACCTTCAGGAACACAAATCACAAATCATGATTAAAACTATTGATACAAACAATGCAGTATCCACAAACACAGTGACAAACATATCTGAACTTTGTACTCTTTGGCTTCACATGTTCTGAACCTGAACATCTATAGCAAACTGAAGAAAAGAACTGAATAAGAGTAGTGGCACAACGACGTTGACTAACCTAGAAAACTTGTCATCCTAATGGATACTAAACAATACTTGCTATGTCATATCCAAATGGATACTAAGACCAACTGCTATGCCGAAGTATTATCTCGTGCTAAATTTCAAAAGAAAGACTAGAGAAAGCATCGCATCTTCATCGGGAGTGACCAAATATACAGATAACTGCAGCCTAAAGGGCAATGGCATTGGATTCAGATAAATAGTAGCTGCAGGTGGTGTGAGAGGCTGCAAATATTTTCCCTCTGTTTTAAGCTTTTACAAGTTGCACCAGGGCGCGCACTATTAACAAAGCTAGGATAACTACTATACTATTCACAACTGAACAAACTTCCCATGAAGGGATTGTTGTATGCATATGCATTTTGCAAATGTCATGGCAAAAAGAATAAAACAAGGATGCTAAAAAACTCAAGGGGTGGAAAATGCATCTTAGTAACTTGCAGGTTTTGTCAGGAATCTATTGCCATTGTTATGTTTCTGTTGACGTGCAAAATTGAAAGGAAATAATCTGCTAACCTCAATTTTTCTCATTTCAGCTTCTATTTGGGCTTTCTGATGATCCTCCCAAGCCTGGATCTTGATCTCTTCTCGTTTGAATCTGGAGAGTAAAAGGCACAACATATTAAGTTACCAAGCACCCAGAGAATTCAAACATAGATATAAAGACAATTAAATATAAGCACCTTGCTAAATATTTGGCCTTCTCTGCCTCTTCCCATGCAGCTGCACGGACTGCAGTTATGTTCTGTGTTGATTGGTCCATGGGCACTGTTTTCAGTGAAAGTGATGCATCTTTTTCCTCTTCCTTCTTGCTTGCCCATGCTGCAATATTGGTCTTACCTAGCTGTGTGCCAAGAAGCATTATCTCCCTCCTAGTTTTTGTTTGCAGTTCCTGTTCACTTAATTCCGAATTGCTACATTCCCCATGGCTGATAACAGCACCAGCTGCATTGGGGCCTAGCATCCTTCGTGGAGTTGTTGGCCGCAAACAATTTGGACTTGTTGCTCTGACCGGTGTTCCTGTCCGAGATGGTTCTTGGCTTGCAATAGGAGTCATTTCTGTGCCCATATCCCTCATTGACACTGACCGAACTGTTGATGGAGGAGGTATGCATGTTGTTGCACTTTGAAGCGTGGTGGATGCGTCATGACGATTAAAAGTAACTGCATTCATTAAAAAAGTTTGCATCTATGAGTGCTATTTTTCCAGTTAGAAGAGACCGTGGGGAACAAAATCATATTATGAGGGGAAGGCTAAGTGAGCAATACAACGCTTACCAGCTGAAGCAGCCATTGTACTTTCTGCAGCAAGTGTAGTCTTTGGACACGGCTCCACTTCGGGACAGGGGTCGGGCGGCGCCCAACTCACCGCTTTCTGCCACCCAATTTCCCTCTTCTCTTGGCTCGGATCAATCCTCTTAGTATCTATCTCCTCTGTGGCCTCCAACACAACCTTGGTCGCCGGCAGCCTCCCGATGCCAGCACTAGGCTTCTCTATCTTCTTAGGTACAGGAGCCCCACCGCCACCCCTGGTAGGACGGTTTGTCGTCGGGTTGGCGATCCACTTCTGGGCATCGTCCCACTTTGATGGGGCAGGCTTTGAGAATGGAGGGACGACCGATGCCGCCGCTGACCGGGCAGTGGCCCCTCGCTCCTTGTGGAACTCAAAGTTGGACGCCACGCTCTCGGAGTCGCACGAGTCCTCTTCGGGCACCCTGATCCTGGAACCCATGGGGACGGGGTGGGTGTCTCGGGACCGGTGCCCGCCCCCCGTCTCCAGGGAGGATGAGGACTCTGAGATGGTGCTCACCACGTCGACGTCCTTGTATTCTTCGCACATGGCGCCTCCACCACCTACATGAGAAGACAGCCATGCGGTCTCAGACTCTGAAATAAACTGAAAGTTCAGGCAAGCACATTGTCTTGTCCCATGTACAATTTGAGTTCAGCTACCCTCCGAAGTACACTAGTGAAGACAACAGAGTATGAGAAGATTCTCCATTCCCCTTCCCCTTTGGGTACAGAGATGCCTCTACTTTACAGAAAAAAAAAATGGCTCTGCATATCCAGACTAGTACCATCCATCTTCTCGCAGCAACCAATGCCAAATGCTGATCTTGGAGAAAAGGGCACACTAGCAATTACCGGTATATGTGTATATGGTGAGGGGAAAAAATCATGATAGAACAATGAGGACAGAAACAGTTCCCCACATTGGCACTGTCCACGAAATCAAATTGGCCTATCCAATTCCAAGCAATGCCAATGCAGCATCCCATCAAAACCCCCCAATAATCCGAAACGAAGCAAAGGACGTGGAGACGAGATCGGCGACAGCAGCAGGCAGCATCGCGAGGAGTGGGAGGTGGAAAAATCAAAACGGGGAGATCGGCGGAACGAAGCAGAAGCACCCACCGTCGCCGGCGTTGGATCTGGCGTAGGCCTTGGGCACGGCTCCATAGTCGTCGCCGCCGCCGTCCTCCTCCTCGGCGGCGTCGTCCTGCCTTGCGGCGCTTGTCCACCCCAGCAGCATCGCGCGCAGCCGCTTGGGCGAGAACCCGCCGCCCTGCTGCAGCAAAAGCAAGCGACACACAGAGAGTCAGAGAGACACAGGGGCTCCCGCATTACTCATCCTGGTACCAGACCAGAGCCCAACGGACAGAGAGAATCTGTCTGGGAAGAGAAGGCATGTAGCAGCGGTAGCAGCAAGGAGGGAGGGGCGGAAGGGACCTGGACGGGGAACGGCTTCTCAATGCGCTCGTGCTCCATGGCGGCGCGTTGGCGGCTGAGATCTACGGCGGCGGCGGCGGCGCCCTCCTGGCGACAGAGAGGAGGAGAGATCAAGGAAGGGAGTGACGAGGTGAGTTAAATGTGCAGCTCGGGAGTGAGTGTACTTTTGACCGCCCTTTGACGGACCGGACCCCCCAGTATGACTCTTCTGCCCTCCCAGGTTGGCGAAGATTTACTACCCGTGCCAGTGTCCCAAACGCCGAGACCGAGGGCAGTACGGTAAATCGCTGGTGCACAGGACGAGGCGTGAAGGTGGTGATTACCTCACCGGCAGCAACAGCCACTCCGGCACTCCCTCTCTCTCCTCGTCATCAGCCCCCACTCTTTCTCACGCGGAGCTCTTCGCGCCCCAGTCACGCGCCTTTGGGACCCAGCTTGTTGGGCCCACATGGAGGTGGGCGGTGCGGTGAGGGATAGGGAAAGGGAAGGAAGGGAGCAGCCGGGGCATCGTGGTGGCGGCCTGGCGAGGGACTGACTGGGTGTGCTCGCTGCCTGTCGGCCCCACCGTCCCAATCATGCTTCATTGTTTTGTTCGTACTCGTACCTAAGGATGAAAACAGACAGAAATATCCAACCGAACCCGGCATTCGTTTTACATATTTAATCCGTCGAATCCGCATTTTCTTGTCCAGAAACTTTACCGTTTTAAGCTTTTCGCATTTGAGATGTTACGTATTTCAAATGTAAAAGTAGAAAAGCAGTTTACCTATTCACCAAATGAATTTTCTACTTTTCTACTTTTAATTTGAAATATTCGAATTCAAAATTAGGTTTAAACTGGAATTTGTTAGCCACCAAGATCCTTGGCCCAATTCTGGCACTCACCACAGCCTTGTTCGTTCTTTTCTCTTTGGTGGTGCCTTCTATCTATGAGCTACACAATTTCATATCTCTTAATATGTATTTGATCAGTACAACATTGTTTTAACGCTATGACTTGAACTTAGATCATGCACTTGTTAGTTAATGAAGTTATTATGTATTTGGTCGTGCACTTGTTTAATGCTATACTCAATGTGAATTGGTATTTAAATATTGAATTTTCCTTTACCGAAAGCAAGTGTTAAACATAATTCCGCGCTCGAATTGTTTACCGTTTCAAAATTCTAGATATTAGTAAGTTAAATTATTCGTTTTTGTGTCAAGCTTGTTAAGCACAAACCATTTTCCTTTACATTATTTGAAATGTAAA